CCCAAATGTCCATCAACTGATGATTGGATAAAGAAGATATGGTATATATAAATAATATAAATATAAATATAAATAAATATATATATATAAATATATATATACACACACAATGGAATACTACCTAGCATTGAAAAAGAATGAAATTTTGCCATTTGCAATAATGTGGGTGGAACTGGAGGGTATCATGCTAAGTGAAGTAAGTCAAAGAAAGACAGATTATCATATGTTTTCACTCATGTGGAATTTGAGAAACTTAACAGATGACCATAGGAGAAGGGAAGGAAAAATAAGTTATGAACAAAGAGGGAGGCAAACTTTAAGAGACTCTTAAATACAGAGAAAAAACTGAGGGTTCATGGGAATGAGGAGGGGGATGGGGAAAATGGGTGGTGGGCATTGAGGAGGGCACTTGTTGGGATGAGCATTGGGTGTTGTATTTAAGTGATGAATCACGAGAATCTACTCCTGAAGCCAGGACTACACTTGACAATAAATTATTGAAGGAAAGAAGAAAGAAAGAAAAGAAAGAAAGAAGAAAGAAAGAAAGAAAGAAAGAAAGAAAGAAAGAAGAAAGAAAGACAGGAAGTAAGGAAGGAAGAGAGGGAGGGAGGAAGAAGAAAGCAAGAGAAAAGAAAAGAAAGCAAGCAAGCAAACGTGGAAAATACAATCTAATTTTCTTCTCTTCTTTTTTGTTTAAAGTTAAAATGAGTACTGGAACACCAAGATAGTACTAAATATACACAAAGGGAATATTTAAGATAATTATAGAGCAAAATAAGCCCAAAGCAAGCAGTAAAATGGTAATAATAAAGTGGAGAAATCAATGAAACAGACTAACAAAAAACAACAAAGAGAATCAATGAAACCAAAAGCTGGTTTTCTTGAAAAGATCAATAAAATTGACAAACCTCAAAGACTGACGGAGAAGATAAGAAGATAGGACACAAATTACCAGTATCAGGAATGAAATAGGGGATATCATTAAACACCCTGTAGACATCAAAAAGATAATAGGGGTCTCCTAGGAACAACTTTATACACATAAATTTAAGCTTTTGATAAAATGGACCAATACCTTGAGAATCTTATTCTGCCACAACTCACCTAAGATGAAATAACAATTTTAATGGCCGTATAACCATTAAAGAAATGAATTCATTCATTTATTTAAAAAATCCCAAAAGAAAGTTCCAGACCCATTCTCTTTAAGAATTATATCAAACTTAACAAAGAATAAATGCTGAATCTAGACAATGTCTTCCAGAATGTAGAAAAGGAGGGAAACTTTTCAACCCAATTTTTTGAGGCCATCATTACTCTGATACCAAAATAAGAGTTTACACAAAAAGGAAACTATAGACCAATATTCCTCATGAATATAGATGTAAAAATTATTTACAAAATACTAGCAAATAAAAGTCAGCAATATATAAAAATAATTATATACCATGACCAAATGGAGTGTATTCTAGAGATAGTAGGCTATTTAATTATTCAAAAATCAATCAGTATAATCTGTCATATTAACAGGCTACAGAAGAAAAATTACCTAATCGTGTAATTTTCTTCAGAAAAATCATTGGACAAAATTCAACACCCATTCATGATACAAACTCCCACTAAACTTGGAAGGGAGGAAATCTGATTTTGATAAAGAGCACATACTAAAACCCAACATCAAGGGATACTTAAAAATGTGTTTTCTCCCTTGAGATTGGGCACAACAAGAATTTCTTATTTCAGTGCTTTTTTTCAGCATAGGATTGCAAGTTCTAGCTAATGGACTAAGGCAAAAATGAATGAACGAACTAAAGAAATAACAGATAAACAGATTAGAAAGGAAAAAAAGTTTCTCATTTATGGATAACATGAATTTATATGGAGAAAATCCTAAGGAATCTAATAAATAAAGAACAAAAAACAATCACAACTTCTAGAACCAAGTGCGTGTAACGTGGTCACAGGATGCAAAATAAACACCTACAAAAAATCTATTGTATTTCTACATATGAGTAGTGAACATGTGATCATCGAAATTAAAATGTTACAAAATCATTTATAATTGCTCTAAAAACAAAATGCTAAGATGTAAATATAACAAAACATGCAGGCTTAAAATTGCAAAATCCCAATTAAAGAAATAAAAATTTTAAGTAAATCATACCCTGTCTAAATAAAACACGTGGGGTGCCTGGGTGGTTCAGTCAGTTAACATCAACTCTCGATTTCTGCCTAGGTCAGTTTCATGGTTTGAGGGTTTGAGCCCTGCATGGGACTCTGAGCTGTCTGATAGCAAGGAGCCTGCTTGGGATTCTCTGTTTCTGCCTCTCTCTCTCTCTCTCTCTCTCTCTGCCCTTCTCCTGACCCAGTGTGCATATGTACTCTTTCTTTCAAAATAAATAAACCGAAAAATAAATAAACAAATAAACAAATGAAACATGCAGTGTTTGTTGTCATAGGTTGGAAGACTCAACAAAGTAAAAATTTAATTCTATCTAAATTGCTAAACAGATTTCTATCAAAATCCTTGATAGACTCATTATGGAGATGGGCATGATTAATCCAAGATTCATGTGGAAAAGCAAAGGACATACAGTAGCTAAAATAATTTATAAAAAGAGGAAGAAAGTGTATGGATCATTGTAACTGGAATTAAATTTTACTACATAACCACAGTTATCAGTTACCATTAGCAAAATAAACACCTCAATCAATGGAACAGATAAGAGAATCCAGAAATAAACCTGCGCAAATCTCCAAATGAACTTAAAAAGGAGCAAAATCAATTCAATGGTGGAAGGATGGACAGCAACAAGTTGTGTTAGAGTGGTAAGACTCCCATAGGCTCCTGCCCCTCTCTCAAAAACCTTGACCTAAATGTCACACTTAATACAAAAATTAGCACATAACACAATACTGTACAAAGTAGAATACGATATTTATTTTATTTTATTTTATTTTATTTTATTTTACTTTACTTTATTTTATTTTACTTTTTATTTGAGAGAGCACAAGCAAGGGAGAGGGTCAGAGGGAGAGAGAATCTTAAGCAGGCTTCATGCTCAGCGCGGAGACAGTCACCAGGCTTGCTCCCACCATCCTGGGATGGTGACCGCAGCCAAAATCAAGAGTCAGACCCTTAACTGACTGAACCACCCAGAGGCCTCCAACACACAATACTATAAATTATATACTACACATAAAAAAAATTGCTATAAAACTGTTAGGGGAAAAATAGGAGGAAAATGTTCAGGACCTAAGCAGGGTAAGATAAGCATACTTAAATTCAACTCCAAAACATGATCCATAGAAGAAAAAAAAAAATATATATATATATATATATATACACACATCAGACTTAAAATGAAAAACCTTTGCTCTATGAAATGTTCACTTACGAGAATAAAAAGACAAGATAAAGGACTAGGAAAAAAAACATTTTTAAGCCATATATCTGACAAAGTAGTACCCGTGAAAGTAAAGGAAACCTCATTTAAAATGGAATTACGAAGGCCTACAGGAGGTTCTCACACACCTACCACTCCTTGTAGGTTACCAGAGTATCATGTGAAAAAGACTTAATCCCCAAATGTTACATGCTTTACAATTCCTTTTATGTAACATAATCACAATGATAAAATCATACAGATGGAGAAAAAATTATTGGTTCTCAGGTGCTAAGGACAAAAGTACAGATGTGGCAGGAAATGGATATAGTCATAAAGAGGCAACATGAAAAATTCTAGTTATAAAGGATTTGTTTTATTTCTTGACTGTATCAATGCTAAAGTCCTGCCTGTGATATTATACTGTAGTTCTGCAATATATCTCCCACTGAAATATTAGGTAAAGAGTATGTGGGCTGTGTCTGTATTACTTCTTACAATTTTATGTAAATTTAAAATTATCTCAAATAAAAAGTATGATAAAAAATAATAATTTTGCTTACTCTATTCAATGAGATAAAAGTCTAAGATTTAGAACTTCAGTAGAGAAATGAAAACTATAAAAATAATAAATTAGAAATTATGGAACTGAAAAAGTGAATACGTAATATTAACAAGTTCAGGAATGTAACAACATAACAGACAGAAATACGGAGAGTATTAGTAAAAGCCTGAGTAAAATAGCCAATGTGAAACACAGAAAAATAACAAGACAGGAAATACAGAGGTGTGAACAGGAAGTAAAGAAGATAGAAGGAGAAATCCTCACGTAAATTTGGTTGGAACCCTAGAGGAAGAAGTAAGGAAAAAATGGGGCACAAGTAATATTGGAAATGATGATGAATAAGAAATTTCTAAATCTGATAAAATATATCAAGCGACAAATTAAAAACTCTCTAAATTGAAAGATGGAACAATATGTAATCAGCTTTATAGAATATCGTAGAAAAAAGACAAAGAGAACATCTCAACAACAACTATAGGAAAAAGAAAGTTTACATTTAAAGGGTATCGATTAGGGGCGCCTGGGTGGCTCAGTCGGTTAAGCCTCCGACTTCAGCCCAGGTCACGATCTCACTGTCCGTAAGTTCCAGCCCCGTGTCAGGCTCTGGGCTGATGGCTCAGAGCCTGGAGCCTGCTTCCGATTCTGTGTCTCCCTCTCTCTCTGCCCCTCCCCCGTTTGTGCTCTGTCTCTCTCTGTCTCAAAAATAAATAAAACGTTACAAATAAAAATAAAAAAATAAATAAAGGGTATCGATTAGACCAATAAATTTGCTTCTCAACTGAAACAATAGAATTCAAATAACTAATTAAAAAACTATCAATATTAAGTAAACATATTAAGAATGAAATTAAAATAATCATTTCCAGACACAAGAAAATGAGAGAATTGTTACCAGCACACCAGCAACAACAAAAATTCTAGTGTGTATTTGCCAAGCACAAGAAGGATAATATAAACTGGAGGATCAGAGATACAGGAAGTGTTTAAAAGCTAGGACAATTTGGGGCACCTGGGTGGCTGAGTTGGTTAAGCGTCCAACTTTGGCTCAGATCATGATCTCCTGGTTCATGAGTTTGAGGCCTGCACTGGTCTCAGTGCTGACAGATCAAAGCCTGGAGCCTGCTTTGAATTCTGTGTTTCACTCTCTCTCTCTGCCCCTCTGCTGCTGGCACTCAGTCTCTCTCTCTCTCTCTCTCTCTCTCTCTCTCAAAAATAAACATTAAAACAAATTTTTAAGCTAGGACACCTTAAGTATGTAAGTAAATCTTGACATCAATTTAAATGTGTAACAAAATTTTATAGAACAATAAAGTAATATTTATAATGATATAATCATTATTTTCGTATACATACAGACACACATCTAGTTGAATTGTGTTCCTCCCAAATCCTTGAATTAAACTCCTAAACACTAATGCCTCAAAATGTAACTGTATTTAGGATTAGATTTATTACAGATGCAAATTAGTTAAGATGAGGTTATCCTGAATTAGGGTGGGCCCCTAATCCAGTATGAATGGTGTCCTTATAAATGGAATGCCAGGTGAAGATTAAGGCAAAGATTGAACTGATATAGCAGAAGCCAAGAAACAGGACACATGGCCAGCAAATCACCAGAAGCTAGGAGGGAGGCATAGGAGAAAGGCATAGAACATATCCTCCCTCACAGCCTCTCAGAAGGAGCAAACCTTGCCAACACCTTGATCTCAGACTCTGAAATGATAAATTACTGATGTTTAGACTACTCAGTTTGTGGCATTTTGGTAATACATATTTGTCAAATGTCTATGATAGTCATAGAATGAGTCAAGAGTAACATGTCCTAAGGACCTTATATTGTCCAAGAAGTAAACAGAAATACAAGGTAATTTGGGATTGTGGTAAATCAAGGCTATATGTCAAAATCTCTGTGTTAATCACTAAAAAAAAATACAGTAAGCTAATGTTTAAAAACTAAGCAAACAATGACAAAGAAGACCAACTATTTTTTAAAAATTAATTAAAGTAAGAATAAGAGGGAAAAGGAACAGAGTGGAGAAAATAGAAGTTATTATAAGATGATGGGTTTAAACAAAAATATATCAGAAATTTCTTTAAATATAAATTTACTAAAGCTGGCATGTAATAGAAAAATATGGTCAGGTCAGATATAAATGGAGGAGATGTGGAGGCCTCCATGTTGTTCATATAAACCAAATTATTCAGCAAGTCTGAAAGAGAAAGTTGGCCAAAGATGTCATGCCAACTGTAACCAAATAAAAGCTGGTACAGCTATACTAATACCAGGCAAGGTAATCTTTAAAGCCAAAAACAATACTAGTAATATATTGAATAATCTTATAAGGATAAAATGTTTAGTTACTCAAGATGGTGAAAAATTTATAAATATGAAGGCACATAATATAATAACATATAATCCACAAAAATCATATTTATAAGAAGATATAGGCAAGTAAAAAAATGTGGTGGGAGATTTGATGAAAACTTTTAGTAAATGATAGAAAATTCTGAAAAGTGTTAAGTAAAACAAATGGAAAAATTGAAAGAGAACCAGAAACTGACTAAATTGACTTAGTTCCCCAAACTGCAGAATGCATGCTAGGCCATAAAGCAAACTTCAGCACCTTTTTAAAAGATTGTAATCACGGCCCCTGGAGAGTGAATCATAGGGGGAGAATGTGCTTATATAATAGCTTACTAGGAAAAGAATGTCACCCACTGGAGGGATTAAAAAATCTGTGAAAAATTTTATTAAACAAAAGCTTACTATTCAAGCTGCACAATGTAGTCATACAAATATATTCATTCAGTGCCCATTGGCGAATTAATATGAATAAGGAAGTCACATAAGAGGAGCACAAAGAGACCTTGCTGAAAAAAATTTAAACTACGAAATATGGTCAGTGGCACAGGTGGCTTCTTTGAAAATAGTATCTTAAAATGAGACGACAGGTCAAGAAAAGTTCACACAATAAAATGAAGCTAAAAAACATTGTTATTGACAATGTTAGATGTGCTATGGATCTCGAGTCTCTTGTATTTGTTCTGTGGTCTGAGACTCGTAGTTTGGCCCAAGAAGACATGTCTAAGTGAAGTGTATGGAAAAGAAAGATGTAAGAAAAATAAAGTTTAATTATTTTATTAAAAAAATAAATAAAATAAAATAAAATAAAATAAAATAAAATAAAATAAAATAAAATAAAAGCTTGTAATCATAAAATTTGTCAGCTGACTTCCATATGGCTTACCAAAATTAAGATGTGCATTAACAACACAAAGATAATTAACAAATGTTAAATTAAAATTAATTTATTTATATAAATATATTCTTCTTAGTGTAAAGAAATCACAATGGACATTAAGACTTACCTAACTTAAAGGTAGTAACTAGTACATCACAAACCTTAGGGGATATAGCTAAGATTACCTCCAAAGGCAATGTATAATGATGAATACATTTATTATAAAAGAAATTATGAAAATTAATGAGGTAAGCATTCATTTTCAGAAGATAGAAAAATAACAATATGGACAAAGAAGTAGATATAAGGAAACAAAAGCCAATATGCAATTGAGTAGATCAGCAAAGTCAATATTTGTTCTACAGAGACTGACCAATATAAAGCCAAAAGGCACAAATACAATAGGTATTTTAATGCAGATGATATTAGTTATTAAAATAATGACATTACTATAGAGTCTTCAGATATGAAAAGTAATATGAAGATATATGAAGCAACTTTACCACAGCCAACCTGACATTTTACATAAAATGGACAAATGTAGAAAAATGTAAAAATATTTTTGCAAATTTTGTCTCGTTAAATTTGACATTATGCTTTTAGTCCAGATTCCAACTTTTTCATCTACACTTTCTTCAGGTCTGCTGTACTATGTTCACATGCTTACTGCTCCTGCACTTCTCATTTGAATCTGGTGCATCCATTAATCTCATTCATCTCTTGAGCTCACTTCTGATTTCAGCTGAGGCTATGGTGAATCATTCTATATGAAATTTGACTGAGTTCGAGTTGACAACAATCACTTCAATTATTCTTGCTTTTTCCCTTGGTACTTTCTGTTGGTAAATGTCTTGCTCACAGTTATTCAGGCATCACATAGAACAACTCAGAGGTGTGAGGATTGAATACCTCAGAGGAAACCTTCAAGTTTTGGGGGCAGTAGCGGACTGAAAATATGGATAAAATGCTTCCACTTGCCATCCTTTAGGTAGAGAATAAGGGCAAGTATTTGGATGTGTATCAGGAGTTCCTAGCAGAAGTGAATACTGGTTGCCCAGAGTAGTAATCTGAATTTGCCCTCAAATTCTTTGAAATTTTGCTTTTTTCCTCTGCTCTTGCATCTCTAAATAAACTAAACCTTTATGAGACCTTGGCACACATTTTGCACTTGTAGAAACTTAAGATAAAACAATACTAGAATCTGGAGATTTTCTTCTTCTTTCTTGAAGAAATGCTGCAAAATATACAGCTGTAGGAAGTATTGGTCCAATATAGAACCTCTCTGCACAGAGGGGGAAAATACTGAGCCCTGTTAACATTGATATAACAACAATATTTGAAATTAATTACATTTAAAGCCACCTCTCTTTGTGTAGGACAAGTTATTCTGACAATATAACAAACATGATGGTAGTTAAATTTGTGTAGCAAAAAAAAGATTGTGATTATGTGTATATGGATAAAACAGTATGATTTACAAATCTTAAAAATCAGAATCCAAGATCATTAGTAAAGTATCCAACTAACCTGGTAATTTTATCAAAAAAAATAAAAACTGTGTTTAAATTGATATCAGTAAACCAATGTGTGGAATATTTTGCAGGTGCTTTTTTCTCTTAACCTTAGAAGTTCAAGGACGTTCAAAGGAAGTTCAAAGAAGTTCAAGGAAGCCTAGTTGAGAAAATAGCTTAGAGGGGCCTTACTAAAGTTTGGTCAAAGTGTGTGCCATACTTTACAATATATATCCTACTAAATTTTGTTAGCTACAATATTATCATTAGACTTGTGATTTATAGTAACATGTATATCAGTTTTCACGTGTATATTTTTTTTAGCAATACAAAATACTAGAGTAGGAAGGGAACTTAAGGTATGACTAAACATAATCTGTTAATTATATGTTATGAAAATTGTGGTCTAGGGATATGAGAGAGGAAAGGTGAGACCCTACCTTTTTTGCAGAACTGTCTCTTGGTTTTAGTTTTGAATCATTTTTTGTTATATAATACTGAGATATGAACCTACCTTTTTAATGTTCAAGAGCTTTTTTCCTTTTAGCAAAAGAACATTGTGTGTTCTTAAATGAAATTGTTCAATAACTGCATCCAAATCGAATAACATTGGCTTCATTCATAATTTATCAGTTCCTCAAAGAGTAACTTTGGAAACCTATTAATATTGTTTTATAGTTAGGTAGTTCTAACTTCATGAATTTCTTGATTTGATTCTAGTTGTGTGAATCGTTTTTTTTTTATGAGGTTCTTAGATATACATGATTAATATAAGCCAATATTTGACCAAGTCATAGTCCATTTCCATAAAGATTCTACCAACATCAGATGTGGAGTCGTGCCTCTGAAGTATGGATGGTACTGAGATTAATTACAATCTCAGTGTCCATTTTGAAGTAAAACTGTGGAGTTTCTGTTTGAATAATAGCCACCATAGGCTTACATCTTCATTTCCAGCCAATAATGTGTAAATATATGATTGTGAATATACCCTCACATAGATTTTCCATGTTCCTTTGAATGTAAAACAGTACATCTTAGGTATATTTAATCTTATGCCATATGCTTATCAGGTCTCAGCCTCTGGTCTTACTTTTAGTTGATTTTGAACAACGGACACACCTGATTGCCTTTTACAAAATTTAGTTATAGTGTCACTGATTTACATGAGATGTCATGTAGCGAGTACTCCATGCTTTTTTTTTTTAATTTTTTAATTAATTTATTTATTTTGAGAGGAAGAAAGAGAGAGAGAGAATGCAAGTGGGAACAGGGCAGAGGGGGAGAGAGAGACAACCTAAGAAAGTTCCATGCTGTCAGTGCACAGCTCTACATGGGGCTCCATCTTATGAACCGTGAGATCATGACCTGAGCCGAAACCAAGATTCAGATGTTTAACTAACTGAGCCACTCAGGTGCCCTGCAAGCTCTCTATACTT